TATTTTCAAAGTCCATTGACATATGGCTTTGAAACTTTGCACACTTGTTCACCATCATGACCCCAACCTGTAAAAAGGAGGAGGTAACTGTATCAGGCATTTTTTTTACTATCAAGCACTAAGAATAGTCGAGCCTTGCTGTCCTACCGACAGCTCTTGTTTAAGATACGATCGTTAACACAGCATGTGATACTCCTGTTTTATATTCATAGTAGTCTTTAAAAGGGCTGAACATTTAATTTTGAAGAAAAATTGTTTCAGTTGTTACATTTTTGCACTGATTGATGATTGTTAAACATGGTTTGATGGTTTAAAATCACAAAATGATCCTGACATACCCTAGTTTGCACGAGCTTTTTCAATAATCCGTGGTGCAGTGATTGTTTTATATGTTATATAGAAATGTGTTCATATTTCTGTAGACCATCAATAGTCTCTGAACACACTTGTCCTATATTGATGATACTCGGGGTAGGGTTGTTCATTGCAAAATATCTGTTGCTTAAAGACCAAATTACCATACAAAAATTTGGTTGCCATGGCAATGGAAAATAAATTTTTTGAAGACAAGACTTATTTGACATGTTGCATAAGAATGTAAACCACCTTTTTTCTTTAAATAATAAACTTGTAAATTATTATTAGAAAATCTATTCTGAAAAACCAAAAATCCAAGAATTAGAGATACATAGAAATTTTTTGATATTAATTAAACTAGACATTTTGTATTATGATGACAGGCACATCATGGCTCTTAAAATGAAAATTATTATGAAATAAAAATTTATAGTAACACGTGCCATTGTATTCTGGAAAGTTAATATAAGTAGTAGATTTAATCACAGGAATGTGTTAAGTAATGCCCGAACATAGGATCCTTGTAAACTGTAGGGATTTCTGTTGGAAAAAAAATAAAGTTTTAATAAACCTTTTTTTTTGCTTGTTTTTTAAGACAATGTTTTTGATTTATGGGGTTTTTATCAAATTTTATTTTAAACCTTTGGGGAACCCTTTCTTTATTAAATTTATGAGTCTTTGGCCCTTTCCAAACCCGGGATTTAAACCAGGCCAAAAAACCCGCCCAAAACCATTTTCAAATTTTGGCCAGGGGTCGATACAAGGTTTGGGGTTTAAAAAAACTTTAAATTTTCACATTTTTATAACCCAAAAACCCCTTTAAAATTTGAAATGACCTTTTTCCCTTAATTCCAAAAAAGGGGGGGACAAGTTTATTTTAACAAGTTCGGGCAGATTAAAAAGGGTTTAAAAAATATGACTTACTTTTTTTTTTTCTTTTCCAAAATTAAATGCTAAAACAGAGCTTTGGTTTACGGGGACAATTTAATTTCTCCCCTTAGAAAAAACACCATTGTTTTTATAGGGATTTTTAGATTTAAAAGAAAAGGACACTGTAATTAATTTTCTCGCCAAAATTTTAAAAGAAAAATCAAATATAGACGTGTTTCGAGAGGGGATGATTTAAGTAAGAAATTTATAAGTTCTTTTTAAATCCGTAAAAAAAGTTAAAATTTATGGCCAAAATTAGAGTTTCCTTTGTTTTTGAATGTCCTTGCATTTTTTCATCCCTTTTTTTCCCCAAGGGGATTATGTTTAAATTTTATAAACTTTGGGGAAAATTTTTGAAAAACCGCTTTTAAAACCCTTTTTTGGTTAAAAGGGTTTAAACAAAATATTTCAAATGTTTTCTGGGGGGATTAATGGGCCCCAATTTAATTCTAACTCTTTAAAATTTTTCTTTTTTTCTTCTGGCCCGTGCTCCCTTTTTTTTTTTCTCCCCAAACTTTAAAAAAATTTTCTAAATTGGGAGGAAATTCTTATTTAAATTTACTGTTTTCTTAATTTTTTTGGGATTTTAAATGCATTTTGACTCTTTTTTAAAGGGCTCTTTAAACCCGGGAAAAAAATCATTTTCACCTTTCCCCGTTTTTTTTGTTTTCCCAAAGTATGGTTATGGGTTTACAAAGTGGGGGAATAAATGCTTTTAAATTTTAAAGATTAGGTGGCTTTAAATTTAAAAAAGGACTTATTTCTTGGGTTTTTGGCACTTAAGTTTTTATTCTTTGTCTGATCCCTAACTCAAGGGAGAAATACTGTTGGGGTTTTTGGGGAACTTTTAAAAGGGGAAATTTTTCTTTTGGCCAGTAGATGAAACCCCTTTTTATTTTGTTTGGGCAGTGGGTCAAGAGTCAAAGGGGGCACAGTGGCCCTGAACACTCAAAAATTTTCTGACCAAATTTCTCTGAAATGCTTTTTGGCCTACAGGTTTTGAAGGAAATTTAAATATGTAAAGGGTTTGGGCATGGGCTAGTTAAAAATGACCCCTTAATTTATTTTTTTAAAGGGTTAAAGGGGTTTTCTTTATTTTGAAGGGTCATTTTAAAAGGGCCCAAAAATTTACCAAATTTTACATAAAGAAATAAATTTTCAAATCCCCCAGCATACCCCTTTTAAAAGGAAGTTTGTAAGTTTTGAATATTTTAATTTATAAGGTAAGTATTTAAATTATTTTATTAAAAGTAAAAAAAAGGGGGGGAAAAATTTAAAAAATTAAAAATATCAAAATTTGATATTTGACCAGCAAAATGAAGTTTGGGGGTGGGGCCAAAAATTTTCCTAAATTGGGGCACTTTTTTTAGTTTCACCAAACTTTTTCTTTTGATAACAATTTTTCAGAATTTTTTTTTAAACCCTTTGTATTTAAAGTGTAAAATTTTAAAAATGGTCAAAATTTGAATGTTTTTAGTTGAAGGGGGGGCCAGTCTTTTTTAAAAGGCCTGGGTTTTTTTAATTTTTGTTTTCGATGTTTTTTTAGCCCAGGGTATGGGCCCCCAAAAATAATGAAAATTGTAAATAATTTAAAACAAAATTAGATGACTTTTTACTTCAGCAACCCAAAGGGAAAATAAATATCTGGGGAGGGGTTTAAATTTAAATTTATTTTTTTCTCCATAAACCCCTCCAATAAAATCGTCCCAATTATCTGTTTTCGTTTAACTCTTTATATAATTAATAGGAAATTAACCCCCTTTTCTGCACTAAGGGAAAAAATGTATGGTTATCAAAATTAATTTAAAATATGTTTTATGAAATTTTAAGTCAAAAAAAATTTTTTAAAAACTTTCATCCTCCAGGGTGAGTCAAAAAAATTTCAATAAAATCAAACTTAGAAAAAAGTCCTTAGATGTAAGAAATAGTTTAAAAAATTTTCAAGATTTTAAGTAATTTCCCTTTACAATTATTTTGCGGGTTAATGGGCCGATTTTTTTAGGGATTTACAAATAAATTTTTTTACTGCGTTTTCTAACACAGTTAAGGCCCACCGGTTTTTTTAAGGAAATTTTTTAAACCCCCTTTTTTGCCCCGACTTTTTCGATAAAGAATAATTTTGAGCTATTGTAGTCACCCGAGCGTTCGGGGTCAGTTTTCGGGCGTCGGCGTTTAAAAACCCCTTATGTTTTAAAATTTTTTTAATAAATTTTAAAATATTTTTTTAAAATCCCTTTTACCCTTAATGGGGTTTGGAAAAATTTTGCAACCCCCTTGTTAACCCCTCAAAAAATCCCAACCTGGGAAAAAAGGAGGGGGGCACTTACTGTATCAAGCATTTTTTTTTTTTCTATTAAAAACACTAAAAAAATGCCCCTTTTTTCGAAATTAGAATTTACGTTAAAGGGTTTTTTTTAATAATTCAAAAAAATTTTCAAAAATCCTTTTACATATGGGGTTTTTTAAACTTTTTCCAAAACCCCTTTTTCCCCCATTTATGACCCAAAAACCCGTAAACAGGAGGAGGGGAACTGTTCAAGGGATTTTTTTTTTTTATCAAAACATTAAGGAAAAGTCGGGGGGTTGCTGTCCCAACCGGGCCCCTCTTTTTTGGAAATTTTCTTGGTTTGTAAAATGCCATTGTAATGTGTAAATTGTTTTTCCCTTTTGGGTTTTCTTTAACCCAATTTTTAAAATATTCAAATTTCATTTTCAAAAAATTTTTATGAAAAATTGGCATGAACGGAGGTGTTCTTTTTTAAAAATTAATTTTATTCCCAAATTTACTGCTTTTTTTTTATGGATTAAATTTTTTTTTAATTAACGTTTACTTTTTTTTCCCTAAAGGGTTTTCTTTTGAAAACTTTTTTTTGTTGTTTTATGAAAAAAATTTTAAAATTTAAAAGTTTTGAAAAGGGAAAGGTACATTTTCCCCATCTTCTTTGATTTTCAAAATTTTTGATTTTTTTTGTAGTTGGGAAAAAATAATTTACCCAGGTTTAATATTCAGTTAAAAATATTTCATTGGGGTGAAAAATTTAAAATGTTATACCTTTTTTGATAAACCCGTGGGATTGTACATCGGTTATATTTTTTAATTTATCCCTATCTGTAGAGTAAATTAAACTTCATAAATTTTTATGTCATTTTAAGAAAAAATATATCCCAAAAATATTTATTTTATTGGGTCCCAAATTAAAAATCCCCTGTTTGGAGTTCGGGTGCGGGGGGGAAATTTTATCCCCAAAGGGGCCCTTCCCCAAAAGACAAAGAGTTTATTTTATCAAAACAATAAAATCACCAAAAATTTTTATATATTATTTCGATTTTTAACACGACAAACAACAAAAAAAGTTTGCTGTTTCCTGATATAAAAACTAAATTGTGCCTGATTTTTTTCCGTACTTTTTTGTCAGCGCGTCAAAAATTTTTTTGTGGTTATGTCACGTGGAAAATGATTACTTCACAAGTCAAATATAGAAAGGCAAAAAAAGTTTATTTTTTTAGCTAATTTAAAACACCAAATTTTTGGGTTTCCTCTATGTTTAAAAAGTCAAAATGCGGGTCGGTTAAGAAAAAAGGGGAAAATATGGATGAAAATATATTTTTTGTAAGGGTAAAAATTAAATTTTGGATGAGTCCATTTTGTATTTTAGGGATGTCTTTTTTAAGTCCAGGTTTTAAAGGGGTATTTGAGTATATCTGGAAGAATCATTGCCATCTAATGGTATATCAGGGTGACTCCCTGTCATAAGAGAGGTGTTTTTCCCTGAATTTTCAATAATCACTTTACCAATAAGTAACATAAAAGGAAATAAAATAATGAAGTTATATAAAATCAATTTTTATAATAGATAATTTTACCAGTAAAACACTAAACATTCAAATTTGCTTAGCCTCATGTTATAAAAGATATTATTGATTTCCAAGTCTCTAGATTCAAAATTGAACTATTTGAATTGTGTTGTAAGTTGATGATTTTTGCAGAAGTAGATTTGTACTTTCAGTTGGTAAATGATTTTATCACATAAACTGCAGCGCAAGAGTGTAATAAAGTCATTTCATAAAAATGATATATCAATACTGTAAAAACCGACATGACGTCATTTAGGTTATATACAAACATAGCATAACAGCGCGCTAATGTTAGCGTTACACTATAGGCGCGTCATTGAAAAATAACTCTTTTTAACAGTGTACCATTCTTATTTTAGATATGTGATAAAAAGAAAATTTTATTCGTGTCGATTCAATGCTAAATTTATTAAACTCTTTGAATAAAAAGATATTACGCTCTCTAAAAACTCGCATAATATAATTTGATTTAACTTGTTCAATAAATTAGTAATAAACCTACACTCATTTCAATATCCTCTATATATATATATATAATTACAACTTTGTTGTTTTAAATGCACACATTACAGCTTATGATGATATTAATGAAAGTATCGGATATCTCAAATGAGGCGAGACCAATGAACGTGGCTACACCTTGGTTAGACTGTCTCCTCCAGGAATTTTTTAACCAGGTTCAGTGAAAGCACTATTGTGTCAATCAGTAAAAATCTATCCACGATTTTTATATTTTGTAGTCTTCCTTTCCTTTATTATGTAGCATCACTTTGTATACATGCTGTACCTGTGAAATCGTGAATTATTTGTGGTTTTGATTTTCAATTTTTAAACTGAAATTTTATGTCAATCAAAAAAACGAAGAATACAGAATCATTGGAGTGTGAGGTGTAAAGTTTTAAACCTTGAAATTTATATAATTTTATATATATTAATTCAACGAGTTATACCTATATAGTAAGATATTCATTTTTCTTAATTAATTAAGCCAATTAGTAAGCAGAAAGCATTTAAGACACAGTATTACCACAAAATAGAATGATTTTTATAGGTTCAGGTGTATGCATTAGCTCTATATATATATATACATGTTTTAGTTGCAGATTTTCCTATTTTCCTTTTCATTATTTCAGTCTGTTATTTTTTTGTACTGTTGTTTTGTATGTAAAAAGGGTTTGAAATGTCTTTTATTGTTCTATTATTGTTAGTACATGTATTTCACCCACTTTAACACAGCAGGCTTTCTCTGGTTCTGGCATTTAAGCTCAAAATGTAACAGTCTTATATCTTTTTATGTTCTCATATGAAATAACTGATTCTCATTGCCCATTAAACAGTGTGGCACTAGGTGAATGATCTCAATCTCTCCCCGGTAGCCAGTGTGAGTTCAAATCTTGATTTCAACACATTGACCTATAAAATAAATGTGATCGAAAGGCAATTTTTTTATATCATACTCCTTTGTGGCATAATGGGATTCATGTACTAAAGTAGGAACATCTGTTGCCCAGTGGTTAGAGTTGATGACTGTAAATGTAGATTTGAATACCATCAGGGACATTGAATTATTTTATGGGGGATGCTATCCTGGATCCAGGTAGCTAAGAGAGCATGACTGGTTTTACTCAGGTGCCAGCTTGTGCCTGAAATAATTTGAGGAGGGGCATTTGAGGTCCCATGACCAGTGAAAAGCTGGAAACCATACAATATACTGTCAGTGTCACTTAATACCCAAGTAAAAATAATGTACACAAGGTTAATTAACTGTAGATGACCAAATACTGGTTAATAAACTGAAGATGGCTGAATGCTGGTTAATACACAGTAGATGACCCAATACTGGTTGATACACAGTACCATAGCCTATTTATAATCTGAAATGCTTAATTTGTAAACTTTGACAAAATTGACATCATAACTGGTATTCACCTTTCTGACCTTACTCATTCAACCTATTACCATGCTAAATATTTTAAATGGACTTGTCTATACTTCAATCTGGACAAGACCATTTCCTCATTTTCAGAATTTTTTTCAATTTTTAAATGCTTTTAATATGAATAGAAAACAGCTGACCATGATCTGAGCAGAGATGTACCAGGGAATCTTGGTCTGCACTGATCGCATGGGTAGATATAGCCGCTGACTGCAGGCTACGGGTCCATTTGTATAACCTGCATGATTTTAATACTATATTTATATTGTCTGCAACATACAGCTTTTGTTTAAGTTAAAGCTATTTAAGTTCTAGGTTTTTCGTTGAGAATGTCTTGATCAGTTCTGAGACTTGTACACATATTTATTTATAAATTTCCTGCCACATTATTGCATATCTATGCTTTAATTCATTATCGAGTTTTTGGTGTATTACTAACACTGCACTGTGATGTTTTTTGTTGTGCCTTTTAATATTCGGCTGCAGAATCCTGTGTGATATTTTGGCAAAGTTGAGTTTGTTTTTTCTTTACAACACCCATGGTGTGAAAAAAACAACACTTCACCATCATTGAACTCAAAAATAATCAGAAATTTAGTTTTTGAAAAATATTTTTCTTACTTAATGGTTTTCAGACATTTTTCTTATATAAACATTTTTTTAAAATGGTGAATTGTAAAAAGAAAGACTTGCCTTTGCTAAATTATCACAATATTAAGTTAGTCATTTTAGGACTGTCTTTATTTAGTTTATTTTAGTTATATATTATTTTTTTATAGTAGATGTTGAATGTTTTTTTGGTATATCTCTTTCTTCATGCATAGTTACTGATGATCTTATTAAAAACCGCCGACATTTCTAACGAGGTACGACCTCTGGAGGTCGCTGAACCATGGATAGAGCGTCTTTTAGAAGAGTTCTTTATTCAGGTAACAAGTTCAGGCATGATATTAACACGTGGTTGAAACTTTAACATCTCTTATATTTATCATGAATTCTAACTCTTTGTCTTCCCACCTACCCGAGCTTTCGATATTTTGAACCCCATTATTGAAACTGTGTATTTTATGCTGATGTTTGCATTTTGTATATCCCCCTCTGATATAATGATACATTCACACACTGGTTTAGCACAGAGGAAGGTAGTCTAGTACTGGTGTAACTCTCCAAGAACGATGGTTAGGAAACTACCCGCCTATATGACTGAAATACTGTTGGGAAAAGGCGTAAAATGAAACAAAAAAACAAACATTCACACAGGATGGTAGAAATTTTGCAGATTATGAATTTTAATCTTCTCATCTGAAATTCTTTTAAATGTCAATCATCTTATTTTAAGAGTAGTATTAATATGGAGAAGAACTCTTGTTGTTTTAGGAAATTATTTCCCAGATTTCGACAGAACGAAATTTTATAATCTCAAACCAATTCTCTTTTGTGCAATTCATCAGGATTTACAAAATAAATTTAGTGTTAGTAGCTTTGAACATTCAATTTATAATACTGTTGAGAATAATTATGAAATATGCCATTAATTGATTTTAAAAGTACATATACATGTACATATATTACATTTAATATCTAGACTATGCTTAATGTAAAGGTTTTGAATTTGGAGAGCTTATCTATGTGACTTAAATGTCCTTACTTAAAGTTAAACATGTTAATAAGGAGACCACTGCAAGTACAATTTGACCAACATTCTACAAACAATGGTTTTTCAATGGGGACAAATTTTAGATTAATTGAAAGCAATATTATCTGTAATGCTTATAGATTGTTTTCCATGACTGAAAAAAAATTGAAAAGAAATGAAAGTTTATAATATTGTCTGTTGCTCACCAGAATGAAACATTAAGGGCAAGATTCAAGTATAATTATTATGATTGAGATGTAAGGGAAGGAATATTTATTCTTTGATTCACCAGTGGTCTTATTATAAATCAGCTGATCAGATTTACGTCGTATATGCTTTGTAGCATGAATTACTTTACTTGAAACAAAGTTTGTTAATCAAACTTGTATTTAACTTATTTGTATTTAAAAAAAAAGAGCAATTATATAAATAAACTTAACAACAAGTATCTTCAATCATAATTCTTATGAAAAGAGGCAACTGGCGTTACACAGAAATATGTTGCATTATATATCTATTAAAACAAAGTCATTCTTTTTCTGTTTTAAATTTGCATGTTTTCTTTATGTTTTCCAGTGATTTTAGCTAACCACCTTTATGTTATATTTAGAGTTTTCATCAATTTATAATCAGACAAATATATGCATGCTTTGATTATGATCAGTAGTTGTTTTGTCATTGTTCTGGAGTTTTCCAACTTGCAGTTTAATTTAAAAAATGATTATTAAAACACGCTTTGTTTTAGCTTGATTTTTATAAAACCTTGAAACTTATATAAGAGCCTCTGTCTAGTTGGCTTCCTATACCTGGTTCATTAGGACAGACAAAATTTCTCTAAGCTCAAACTCGTATCGCAGGTATTCGATTAGTACAAAAAAAAGAAAGAAATAAAACCAGCACAGAATGTATATTTACCAATGAAAATACTGAGATTTGAGACTAAGCAGGGAAGGTATTTTTAGAAATCCTGTGAGGAAACATGACAGAGTCAGATTATGGCTTGAACCCACTGTTCCTGGGTTGAGAGGCAGACATTTTAACCACTAGGGGACTGCTCTCCTGATATCCCAGTTTACATGTTTTAATATGGTTTTATCCATTAATTATTGTATGTGATTTTAATCTACCCTTATCCATGAACACACTTTATCAGACTGTTTTCTATGTTTAAAAACATATTTTTTTAAGCTGACAATTGTGAAACAAGTTCTTGCAACTTATATTAATCACTTTCCAGTCTGCTTCCTGGAACCAACCAGTACTAGTGTCATATGAAAAAACATGGTTGTGACCCAATAAGGGCTCTAATCAAGACCCCTGGGTTGAGAGGCAGACACTTTAACCACTAGGCCACTCCTGCCCTTTTCTATGTTCATGTATTTAAAGGGGCCGTATTTTCATTTCATTGTCAAACAGATCAGAATTGTTCGTTTTTATTTGCCGTCATATTTATGCTCCTTGTATACATATATTGTCTTTTCAGATTGTTCATATATTTGAACCTGTTCCTTCATTATATAACCTATCAATTTCACATAAGTATATAGTCTCCGAGTTAAACCTTTAATTTTTAACAGGCATGAACAAAAAACAATTTCTTGAAATATTGCTTTAGTCTAATTAGGTTATAAATTAAGTTAACATTTGCATTTTAATTGGTAACAATTTTAGTGTTAAATATTGAGGTCAAGGTAAGATATATGTTTTATTATTTATTTTAAAACAGTCTGGCTGTTTTCTATAACCAACAATAAATGTTTTCCTGAAGTATAGTTGACTACTAAAATAATGTTTTGTGCTCTAGATTTGTTCTAATGCCTAGATCACACATTCATGGATTTGATGACGGATTAGCTGCGTGTATTAAAACTTTTGCATAATTTTTCTATGGCAATTTTGTATTTTTCCGTTGTTATTCTAGCCATATTATAATAATCTTATATATTGGCAACAAATGTAGCACGGTAGGGAATCACGTGACTTTTACGGTTACGCGTACAGACAATATGGCGGCCTAAAAACCTCGCTTCACATGTGTTTTAAGGTAATTCTTTATTATATCCCTTTTACTTACATACGAGACCTGTTTCAGCCTACGCATAATAAAGAATTGTTGCCGCCTATACCTTAGTTTCCACTCCTGTGCTCATAGATTTTACAAACACTCAAAAATTCAACAGAAATTTTCAATGTGAACAATTATATTTCGGGTAACATTCACGCAAAATTTGTATTTTTTATGAATTTGATTAAACTACGTCGAGTTAGCAATGAGAAAATATTCATAGAATTTCTTTATTTGAAAATGTAAATATTAGGCATGTTAAATATTGACTGGTCATTTTCTATTCCAAAACATGAGAGAAAAATGATTTGGGTAACTCCCACGCATACTTTTATTGTTGATAACTCCCACGCAATATTTTATGGGCAGGCAATATCTATGCAGGTTATAGTCTAGATATTGATTGAACAAAATCATGATTGATGCATTTAGCCTTAACGTTCAAAGAATTTTGAATAATATTAAAAATACCGCCAAAAGATCCTGGATAGAATAAAGCCCCTATGGATAGCAGAATACATACTCACGTGAATATATTAAATGAAGTTTCGATATAGATGAATAAATCGCAGAAATTAAAATAAAAGTCTCAAATATAAGAAGGAGGTCGATTTCAGTATAAGCACAATTACAGTTGTCATTTTTCATAGTTTGCAGATATGGGCGGTTCCAGTTCGGGTATTGTTTGTGGATAATGTTGGGCAACATTTGTCTTAATGACCACATAAACTGGCTACTCGGCACAGGACTTTGTAAATGTTGTGACAAATCGAAACGTGACAGGTATGGCATTTTATGTTATTCGTTATATTAAGATTTTAAAGACATTCAAGTCATTTTATCACTTAGTCTTTTATGAAACCAACTATTTTCAAATTAGTGTCTGTATTTAACATTATTATGCTGTGTGTGTTTTTTATGCCACCGCAGCATCTGCGATGCGGTGGCATATAGCGATTCACCTGTGTGTGTGTTTGTTTGTGTGTGTGTGTGTTATATAGATTATATAGTGAACTTAAAAAATCTTCTTGTGAAAAACCACTAGTCCAATTTCAACCAAACTTGGCAGGATTGATCCTTGGGTGAAGGGCTTCCAAAGTTGTTCAAAGAATTTCATTCCATGCAGAAATCTGGTTGCCATGGCAACCAAAAGGAATTATAAGAATAAATTAAAAAAATCTTCTTGTAAAGACCCAAAAGACCTAGAGCTTAGATATTTTGCAAAAGGCATTGTCTGGTAGACCTCTACCAAGATTGTTCAAATTATAGCCCTGGGGTCAAAATCGGCCCCGCCCCGGGGGTCATTGATTTTCACTATATGTACATATAGTAAAAACTTAAAATACCTTCTTGTAAAGACCCAAAAGGCCTAGAGCTTAGATATTTTGCATAAGGCATTGTCTGGTAGACCCTTACCAAGATTGTTCAAATTATAGCCCTGGGGTCAAAATCAGCCTGCCCCGGGGGTCATTGATTTTCACTATATGTACATATAGTAAAAACTTAAAACACCTTCTTGTAAAGACCCAAAAGGCCTAGAGCTTAGATATTTTGCATAAGGCATTGTATGGTAGACCTCTACCCAGATTGTTCAAATTATAGCCCTGGGGTCAAAATCTGCCCCGCCCCGGGGGTCATTGGTTTTCCTTTTATGTATATAATAAAAACTTATAGTAAAACTTTAAAAAAATTTCTTCTAGCAATTGACAAATGCTAAAGGTTAGATATTTTGCATGAAACATTGAGAAGTGAACTTCTAGCAAGATTGTTCAAATTATAGCCCTGGGGTCAAAATTGCCCGCGCCCCGGGGGTCATTGATTTTCAATATATACATAATAGTAAAAAAATCTTATTATCTGAAGGTACAAGGCTTAGAGCTTTAATATTTGTTAAATGATATCATCTATAGGTACTCTACCAAAGTTGTTCAAATTTTGTCTCTAGTGTCAAAATTAGCCCCGCCCCGGGGGCCATAGGTTTTCCTTATATGTATATAGTAAAAACTTAAAAAATCATCTTCTCTTAATTTACAAATGCTAGAGTTAAGATATTTTGCATGAAACATTGTGTAGTGAACCTCTAGCAAGATTGTTCAAATTATAGCCCTGGGGTCAAAATTGGTTCCGCCCCGGGGGTCATTGATTTTCATTATGTACATATAGTAAAAAAATAAAAAATATTTTTGTCTGAAGGAACAAGACATAGAGCTTTGATGTTTGCTATATAA